AAAGTGATGCCAACTTAGCGAATGGTTTCTTTTTCCTTTTTAATATTTGAGGTGAGAATTATATTTAAATCGATGTACTCCCGATTGCTACATGAATTAATAGATTATGCGATTGTGATCGAGAGGAATTTAACACGGGGAGAATCTAAGCGTAATATTTTAAAAAATTTAAAAAGAAGAATAATTAATTAATTTTTTTGACAATGTTGTTTTGCACTTTATTATTTATATTTTAAACGTGATGAGTTTTCTCTTTTAAAATTTTTTTTTTCACTTATCTTAATATTTAAATTTAAAATTTTAAGATCTAAATCATTAGAAAGTTTCCTAATGAACAAAAGAACAAAACACAATTTGGATATAATTAGGCATTATGGTTGAAATTCTCATTTCCATTTCCTCATCATATCTGATTTTTCTTTTCGATTTTATGTATATTCGTTGTGTTTATACGTTGCCTTTAAGGTTCATATACACGGTATATATATCTACACTTTTTTTGGAATTAAGATTGTGAAAAGATGACGCAATTGATTCAATTCTTTTTTGATATGATCAATCTAATGTATATTCCACAATTTGGCTGGGACAGACACACCATTAATCATTGCTCTACACATATACCTCATGACGATTGCACACCCCACACAGACACTCACATTATAGAATTGATTTTCCTGCATACTTGTATTAAATTAGGAAAATTATTAATATAACATCCAATTTAACGTAACTATCAATACTTATTAGTTTAATCATTAAAAAATTATAATTAAAAGGTTTATCACTTTAAATTTAAATTTAAAAGTAATAATTTTTTAATAAATATGTTGTGAAATAGATTAAATTAGAAGGTCTAATAATTATTTTCTAATAAATTAAGGTTACATTGTTTTTTAATTTTATCATAAGAAAAATACCTATATATTATATAGTTCGAATTTAAAATATTTTACTTTTAGTTGAAAGAAGCTAAACATTAAACATTAAATTATATATATAAGTTCTTGACATGATTGATAAAGATTTTTTTTTTTTGACAATCAAGAATTAATTATTTCACATTATAAAAGTTTAAATATCTAATCTTAAACTCATATTAAAATTTTTTAATTATATAGTTTTTTTTTTTGAACAGCCAAAAGTAATATTAATTAAAAAACGGAGTACAAGGGGTACCCCAAACACATTAACATCCCAACTGAAAAAGCATAAGTTTACATCCATATGGTATCGACACCTAAATTGTGTGCCAACACCACGTCCGTGTCGGGATTCTGGGTGCTCACCGTATGGTGTCGACACCATATTTATATGTCGACACCACACCCGTGTCGGGTTTTCTGCCCTCTTTTGCAATTTCTCCATATCTCACTGTTTTGATCATTAAACCCACTGGCACGGGAAACCCCTACTGTTTAAAAAACACCATCATATGGTATTCCTGCAGACATCATCTCATCTCACCTTGCCCAAGTTCTATTAACCTTAGTTTCAGAACTTTTACTATTTGGCATCTACTAGGAGCACTGCACCAGTCTGCAAAAGAGTATGTCCAGCCTTCAATTTTGCTCTTTATCCAACAGTATGAGTTGTATTGTACCATGTGGAACACTTCTTCAGTGGACACTTGCTTTGCCTCAAAAATTCTACGGTTCCGAGTTGACCATAAGGCCCAGATTGTAGCATACCATATCACCTGCCACCCCTTTTGGTTTCTACCCGCCCAGCTATGTTGGAGAAAAGCATCCTTACAACTCCTGGCCATGACATACGTGATTTCCCACCATGCAAGATTTTTGTTCCAAATTTTTCCTGAAAAATCACACCACAGTAGTAGGTGGTCCTCATTTTCTGCTATTTCTGCACAGAAACTGCACTTAGCATCTGCTTCTTGTCTAATGATATTCCTCTTCAGGAGGTTTACCTTGCAAGGTGTACATCCAAGCACTGACAGCCAACTAAAAGCACAGATTTTCAATGGGATTGTTGAGTTCCAGCATCTCTTAAGACATTTAATTTCATCCCCTTCTTCTGTTGTTAGCATCTTGTATGCTGTTTTTACTGTGTATTCACCGTCTTTTTCATATCTCCACCACCATCTATCATCGGCGTCTTTTCGAATTTGCACATTTTGTATAGTGCTCCGAAGTTGTGTTTCTTGGTCCTATTCCCTTGTTGATAATCTTCTCCTCCATTTTAATCTCCATCTCCATGAACCACCTATCCATTCTCCCATTTGCTGCACCGTGCTTTGTCTATCTGTGGAAAGATAAGATAATTGAGGGAACATTACTTCTAAGCTATGAGATCCCACCCACACTTGTCTCCAAAAGGAGACCTTAGCACCATCTCCTATAACCAACTTAAAGCCCGACTTCACCCAATCCCGTTTCCCCTCAACCAACTCATTAATTTTGCAAACATCTTTCCACCATCTAGATCCCCTGTTCTGCCCCTCTGTTATCCATTCTCCCCAGCTTCCTCCTTCCCCTTTGTATTTATCTAAGAGCACTCTTCTCCATAAGCCTCCTTGCTCATTAACTAATCTCCCCCACCATTTCCCCATCAACGCTAAATTAAACATCCTAAGGTCTTTAATACCCATCCCCCCTTGTTTCCTATCCTTACAAACTTTATCCCACCTTACCCATGCAATCTTGTTTCTCTCCTCACACCCACCCCATAAAAATTTCCTTCTAATTGCATCAATCTTTTTTATCACTCCAGCAGGTAATAGATAAGTAGACATAAGGAAGACAGGAAGACTAGTCAACACGGAGTTTATAATGACAATACGCCCCCCCAGGGATAAAAACCTGTTTTTCCAGCCAGCCAACTTCCTCCCTATTTTGCTTATCAGTTCTGCCCATGTGTCCTTGCTTCTCAAACTTGCTCCAATTGGCATGCCCAGGTAGGTCATGGGTAGTTTACCCGTTTTGCAATTCAAGAATATGGCCCAACGTTGAGAGACTTCCTCTTCTATATTCATTCCATACAACTTGCTTTTGTTGTAGTTGATTTTGAGTCCCGAAACCATTTCAAAGATCCTCAAGATACTTTTAATTGCCTTGACATTTCTTTCCGAGGCCTCTCCAAAAATGATAGTGTCATCCGCAAATTGGAGATGAGAAATTTTCAGCCCCTTCGAGCCTACCGTAATTCCATTGAACAAATCTTTTTTTTCAGCGGATGCTAATAGTTTTGAAAGGCCCTCAGCGGATATAAGGAACAAGAAGGGGGAGAGAGGGTCGCCTTGTTGCAAGCCCTTGCTCACACTGAATTCCTTTGTTGCACTGCCATTCAATAAAACTGAGATTGTGCTTGAGCGAAGACACTCCATAATCCACTTCCTCCAAACATTGTCAAATCCCATGCGCATCAGCATATACTCTATGAAATTCCAAGAAACCTTGTCGTAGGCTTTCTCGAAGTCAATTTTGAAGATGAGGCTCTTTTTCTTCTTCTTCTTAATCTCGTCGATGGTTTCATTGGCCACAACTACACTGTCCATAAGCTGTCTCCCTTGTATGAATGCTGATTGTTGTTCGCTTATCAACCCCTCCATCACCTTCTTCATTCTGTTTGCAAGTAGTTTTGCAATAATTTTGTACATGCATCTGATTAACGAAATTGGTCTATAATCCTCAATTCTTATTGGGTTCTCCTTTTTCGGAATTAGAACAATGAAAGATGCATTTGAGCCTCTTACTAATCTTCCACTTGTATGAAAGTCTTCAACGAATTTTACAACATCATCCTTCACTGTCTCCCACATTGCTTTGAGAAAACCGAAATTAAATCCATCTGGTCCTGGGGCCTTTGAACTGTCACAGTCCCACACAGCTTCCTTTATCTCTTCTTTTGTGAATTGTGCAGTCAGCATTCTATTTTGCTCTAGTGTGACCTTCTTGAATTCAATTCCCTCCAATATTGGTCTTTCCCAATCATCTTCTGTGAATAGTTCCTGGAAGTACTTCATGACACCTTCCTTTAGATCTGTGATCTCCATTAGCTTTGTGCCTCCCACCTCCAGGTAGTTAATTTCATTTCTACGCCATCTACCTTTGATGCATTGATGAAAAAACTTTGAGTTTGCATCTCCGAGTTTGAGCCATTGAGTCCTTGCTTTTTGTCTCACCATACAATCTTTGATCTGCATTTTTTGCCACAGATCGATTTCATTCTTCTTTTTTAATTCCAGCTCCTCTTCAGTTAATGTTTGAGCTTCACCTTTCACATCTATTTGGAGTATGACTTCCTCGCATTCTTCTATTGTTTTGTTCAGCTCACTATTGTATTCTGTGCTCCATTTCTTCAGATATACTTTAGTTGCTTTTAGTTTCTCTTTGAGAATAAAGCCACCTGTTCCTTTGAGCTCCTTTGTTCTCCACACCTCTGCCACTTTGTCTTTGAATTCCGGATGCCTAAGCCAAGCATCAAAGAAGCGAAATGGCCTTGGCCCCCAATTCTTCACCTCATTTTTCAATAGCACTGGACAGTGATCTGAGATGCTTCTCATCAAACCCCACTGTTTCAAGCCTTCCCATTTTACAAGCCATTCCTCATTTATTAAGAATCTGTCTAGGTGACTCATGGCTCTCCCATTTGGTTGATACCAGGTAAACCTTCTCCCAATCATTGGTAAGTCGATCAACCCTGTTTCTGCTATGAACGCCTCAAAACCCTCCATCTCCTTCTGTATGCCCCGACACCCTCTTCTTTCTTCTTGTGAAATAGTGACATTAAAATCCCCTCCCACGCACACAGCTGTGTCTTTGTAGTTAACAATGTTGCCCAGATTGCTCCATAATTCATTCTTTCCTTTGCTGTCACATGGTGAATAGACATTTATAATGTAAATAGGGACCTTTTTAGTGCCCCAAAAGCCATAGACACCCAAGTATCCTGGTCCCTAGAAAGACTTATCAATCTTAAATATATCACAATTCCATACACATAATAGACCCCCGGCACTGCCTTCAGCATTCATGGTTGCCCATTCAAAATTATTCATCCCCCACAATTCACTACAAATACGTCTATCTACATTTCCCAACTTAGTTTCCTGTAGCATCAAAAATTCTACTTTCTCCTTACCCACCAAATTCCTTATCTCCCTTCTCTTCCACCGACTTCCTATCCCTCTAACATTGTAGGACACTAGAATCATCGGAACATACCTTCCCCTCCAAGAGTGGATGTTCGATTGTTGGGTTTTTGTTGATTCCTATCCCTTTCCTCTAGCTGCTCCAATTTTTGTAGGATAAGTTCCTCATTCCCCTGTGCCTCTACACCAATTTCTTTTGCAAGTTCCCAAATTTCCTTTGCTCCAAATTCCTCCTTGCTTTTTAAGATGGCCCTGTTACAATTGTTGATATTGCTGTCGTTTATGGACTCATCAGCCACTGCACAATTCACATCGGGGATGAACTCCAGTAAGGACGTGTCCGTTGGTTGATTCTTCTTTGTTCTTCCTCTTCTTCTTTTCCTTGCCTCTATTTTGATTAGCCTGGCTGTTTTATAAACTACTGCACATGCCTTTGTCCTTTTATTCTTCTTCCGAGTTTTTGATTCTACCTTTCCCTTCATCCACTGTCTCACCGTCCCAGTATCGCTATCCATCTCCTGGAAAAAAGACCTCCAGCTTTCAGTCACACTTGAGCTGCACCCATTTGTTTTTTTCTTTATCTGTTCTGGCTCGTTGCTTCTCACATTCTTGGGTTGTTCCTCTGTTCCCTTGAGGTGTAAAATGGCCTGCAGTGAATCTTGGGTCTGTTTAGAGTTTACATGGGACTTCCTTTTTGGCCCATTTGCATCTGGCCCAACCGCCCCTCCATCCACCTTCTTGTTGCTATTTTGGTTCATTTCTAACCGAGAACCTCTTTTTTCAACTATTGTTTCTTCAACCCAACTACAATTTTCTTCAATTGGTTCCACTTCGTTAATCCTGCTTGCATCATTACTTATTTCAAAATTTGCAGCCGTTAGCCCCATTCTTCCACCCCCATTTGACGTTTCCCCCATCATTTCCTGGCTAGATTTTGAATTTCTCTCCTTGGAAGTGTAATTTTTTGTTGCCTCATTTAATGCTTGAGTTGACCACATATCTTGGCACTGCCTTTCCTTTGAATCTTCCTCATCCCGTTCACGCCAAGGTGCCACGTCATTGTCTTCTTCCTCCAGTATCAGAGGGATTTTCAGATCTTTCAAGCTCCCCATTCACGGAGCCTGCTGCTTCTACTGACCCAAGTGACCAAGATTCACTATCATGATCACTATAGGACTTGTTTTTAATCCCAAAATTAGACCTCAAAGTAAACAGATTGTTGGAGTGTTCTTCCTCCGTGCACTGTATATTGTAGAATTCTCCATTTATCTTCATGGTGAGCTTCTTTGATATCATCTCCATGCAGGGTGTAGAAATCAGGATTCTACCAACATCAAATCTTTTTTTGTTGCTGGTACTATCATCCAAGGAGATAAATTTTCCCCATATCATGCTTAGATCATGGAAGAATTTGGGTCCCTATGCATGTAGAGGAACTCCCTGGCATTTTATCCATGTAAACCTCTCCGTAGCAACCATTGACGGTGACCATGGTCTTACTTCATCGAACCATTGTCCTAACCAATCTCCTGCATTAGCTACTAAGTCTTCCAGCTCTTCTTTGTCCGCACATTGCAGTAATACAAGCTTCCCACCCATTGGTTTTAGTGAAATAGAGAAATATCCCTCCATGTAGAATTTCTCTTGAATTGTTGGGATTAATTCTACTGCTCGGGCTGTCCCCACAAAACTCCCTTTTACTCATTCAAAATCTGATTCCTCAGCTCTGAATTCCCACCCTCTCCATTTGGAATCTCTGCTTTTTGCAATCCATTCCTTTCTTCCTTTTGTCGTGTGAGTGGCTTTTCTGTCCCTGTCCTTGTTTTGTATAAGTTGTTCTGTAGTAGTGGCCTGTGTACTCCCCAGTCCATTCTTCTTTGAGCCTCTAAGGATGTCTGCATAAGTCATATCTGCTCTCCTATTTGCTTCAAAGCTGATGGTCTTTTCTACATTGTTCTGGCTTCCGTCCCTTTGTATTTTTGCTTTCCTGTCAAATCTTGGTTGGTTTACGTGAATCTTGATCCCTCCTACCTTTATTTGATCTAACTCCCTCTCCAGCATGTGGACATTTTGCACATCAAGATATCGGACAAACCCGAACCGTCTTCCATACCTATCTGTCCTGGCTGGTACGTGTATGTCGATAACTCTTCCATATCCTCTAAAGGTTCTCCACATCTGCTCATAATCCCAGTCCCCTGGAAAGTTGGTGAAGAAGAATGGGACGGCTAGATTGTATACTGCCCTATCAATTCTCCGATCTGGCTGGAAACCTTTGCTTCTCCCTATTCTGCTGTAATGATCCCATGCCCGTGCTGATTTTCTTCCTTGCTTCCTTGTCACTCTCTCTCTACTTCTGCCTCTCATCTCTCCTAGTAGTAATTTCGATTCTGCCGAAGCCTCTTCCTCCGCCTCCGGTTACCACCGTCCTCAGCCGCAGTTGAGCCGCTTCCCTTGTGATCGATTTCTCGGTTGAAAGGACCAGCGTTTCTGGTAAATCCGTTGTGTTTGATTGTTTTGATGTAGAGCAAATATGTTCTTTCCCAAATCCTAGCTACCCTTCCTTTCTTCGAAACTGGGGCTCTTTATTTTTTTTAATTATATAGTAACATCAACTCATTCAAACTCTTATTGATTGACTGATGAAGCTTTGACATAACGAGATTCAACCCTTGCCTGATGTAGATTTGAATCTAGTTTTATTTTATGCCAATCCTATATGGTTTGTATTCATGGGCAAAAAATATGTGTAGGTATTTTGTTTAGTGAATTATTTGTAGTGTCAATATGGTATGTTTATATGATAGGCTCAAACATTGATTAAAAAAAAAAAGGGGAAACCCACTAGTGCTCAATAAATGCCAAGCAATATTTTTTATGCTACAAAAACATCAAGTCATTGCGGGAGGCATTTCCAGAAATAAACAGAAAAATGCATTTTATCTCGGATATGTAAAGCACTACCATTTGTCTTGCTTTTTCTTTTAAAAGCAGGGTATGGATGAGACTACGGGGAAACGTCTGTTTGCTGCAATCCTCCGACCAAATTCCCACTCAAATGTAATAAATAAATAAAAATTATTTTCTTTTTATCCATATCTCCCACTCAAATGGTAGTATTTCTCAAAATGAGAGATCATTCGGAAAAGGAGGCCAACTTTCATGCTTTTATTAATGAGTATAATGTTTTTACAATTTAAACTGGATCAACTTATAAAATACTAACTATTGAATGAAGAGTCTTCCCGTAATATTTGAGAATCCCTCTTAATCTAATAACTATTATTTTGCAGTTTGATGTAATCCAAATTGCAAAACACTTTTTCTTTTATTAATTTAGGATACAAACTTTTTTATCACTAATCAATGATGAAATTTTTTGATAAAAAAGACTAATCAATGATACAAACTTTTATGAATTATTAAATAAGGATAATAAAAAGGCAAAATACATATCTTTAATAAATAACTTATAAAATTTTGCATCCTTGATCAGCAAATATAAATGTTCATATCCTTAGTAAAAACATAAAGTTGATATTTTTATCTATATAATTTCTCTTCTCAAAACTGCTTAAAAAATTAAGCTAAATAAGTACTTATTTTAAGGTCAACACTCAATTTTTCTTGGAGACCAACTCAAGTTAAACGGATTGAGGTCGGAGTTGAACTTAATTTTGGTACACACATATATGATAGAAAATGATTTTCTTCCTAATGATACACCCACAACAATGATGAGGAAATACCAGGCAAATCATAGACATTTCTCTTTCAAATAATAACGAACAAGAAATGAATTGTAGATATTTTTCACAAGGTTTAGTGGAGCACTAGCACCCCAAGCCAAATGGGCATCCATTCAGCCCCCAATGATTGGGCCTCTAATGTCATATGCCCTGCAGCACAACAATGACATATGTTGCAAGTGCAACGATTTGTCGACCAACTAAGTCTGGTCTAGGATTGGTGGCTTACAAGGGACAGAGTAAAAAGTTAATGTGCCCGGGCAAATCAAGGGGACGGATGTAGGGTAGGGTGCCATTTGGTAGGGTTAATGTTTTCTACTTTCATACGAAATGGGGCAATGAGGTCAGCTTAGTATTGGGAGTGGAAGTCCTCCAAAGACACCAGTATAGCAGATTTGGAGACAACTTCCAAGAGATAAGAGGTAGGAAATGAAACAACACTTCCTTTGCGTGAGATTCCACTAGCTAGAAAGTGTTGAGGTCTCAATGACTCTCAACTTCAATTGGATTACACAAGTCACCAATGGATTTTATTGTATATGACATTGCTGATTGATTGATCCTGTATTTTAAGATTTGGGAAGTACATATTTTTATTTTTCAGCACATCTATCAACCATATGATGTTTTGCAATCCTTTCCTCGCATATTGCAAACACCACTCCCTCAATCAGTAGAGTCTGCTCTTGATTGTAAGATCAATAATTGATCCTAAAACCCATAAAGCAGGACTAAAATCTACGACTTCAAGATTAGCAAGCAATAAGGAATTCTATGCAATTGCCATTCCTTCCAAGCAATAAATAGGTACCACCTCATCTATTTCACTAACGCTGTTAGTTACCACGTTCGGCGTAGTGAACCATTAGGAAATGGTTGGTTGGTTTGTATATATATGATAGAT